TATATTCGATTAGTGCGGCTCTTTTAAAGAACATATTAACCGCACTAATCGAGGGATTCCTGTATATAGATCCTAACACATCCTGATTCCGGTGGCTAAGCGGTAAGTCTGGGGGTTTATAACGCTAAAAATCGAATTATGATACTTGCTGTGGGCAGTACACAGATACACCATTGTGCTTAACAGCATATTGGTACACCCACATACTGCAGATAGGCACGCCATCTGTTGTGTATAAAAGACAGTTGATTTATACACGTAGTTACAGGATTGATTGATTTTGGTACGTGCAACAATAAAATGATATTTAAAACTCAGATGTTTACTTAAACCAGTTTGATAAATACTGGATTTTTTTAAACTGATATCTGAACAAACACAAGCATCACAAATATATTGTTACATCTCCGTTTGTTAATTAATTTTCCGTAACTTCGTTCCGACGAAACTTTAGCGACACAAGTCCTTACTTAATAAAACTGGTTTATTCTTTCTGAATATAACTTTACGATACACTTAATTTCAACATTCGCGCTAAAACAAGCGCTATAACGAACGTTAACTTCAACAATACTCTGACTGCAGATCAATTACTCACTACCTACACACACATTGTTGTCCCGTCACGTTGTCACCCTCTTATATATACCAAACTACCCTATATCTAGTAATCTCCCGACAATTCCCGAAGGTTCGAGAGAACGAGTCACGTGACCTCGCTGACGCAACAGTACATTAACACTTAATTACAGTAACTATACGTAGTTTATAGTGCACTCACAACTATAGAAGAGTTATAATTACTGAGAAAGAAATAATATATATTCCAATATATGAGAATCAATATAAATAAATACACAGCATATAGCCCAACACATAAGAAGAAAGATAAATGTACATACAACACAGGGAGACCGTATTTGGCTACATACATGTTAAGAAAGTTAAATATACACGTACATCATATATAGGTTAACATGTAGATAATTAAACACCGTATTTGGCTACATACGTATTAAGAAAGTTAAATATACATACATCATACATAGTTTAACATGTAGATAGTTAAACACCGTATTTTTGCTACATATATGCTAAGAAAGTTAAATATACACATACAACGTATATAGTTTAACATGTAGATAGTTCAACACCGTATTTGGCTACATACATGCTAAGAAAGTTAAATATACACATACACAGGTCTACAAAGTGATGGTATAGATATGTACCTGCCATTCCAACATTATATGAATCCATCCAGTCAACCTTCTCTTTAATAAATTCTATCGTGAAGGAACTGGAATTGCTTTGTGTTTCATGATTGTAGAGCCTCAGTAGAGTCGCTGTTGAACTGTCTTCTGGTCCAGAAAGTACTCCTGTTGGGAAAAAAAATCAATAGAAAACAACTCGCAAGTCTTGAAGTAAACTATGCCACCACATTTAAGGAGAAGTAGACTGTTGATCCATCCATGCGTCCCATCCACTGAAAAAAACAACAAACAAAGCCAGCCCTTATTATCTGTATACTTATCAAGCTTTCCTTTAAACTTCCATAAATTTGTTGCATCTACCACATCCAAAGGTCAAACACTCTGTTAGAAAAATAAAACTATCTTAGCTGAAAATGACTCCTACTCTGCCAGATTTTATGTGTCCTTTATTCCTACCATTCTCACCATTAAATAAGAAAAGATGACGCACTAACATTATCAGTTCCCTAACAAATCTCAAGCACCTCAATAAGGTGCTCTATAACTCTCCTTCTTTGAAGAAAAAAGATTTCAGAAATTTTAATCTGTCCTTTCCATCCCAGATATCATCTTAGTAGCCCTCTCTGAACCTTTCCAACAATTCAATATCCTATCTAAGAATTCCTTATATGACCTAACCATTGATCTACACAATGAAATTATAGCTCTTTAGGCTTTGTTTTCAATATTTCTGTAGATACAACGTAAAATCCTATTTTCCATACCTTTAGTAACAGCACACTGTTTGGATGGCTAAACAACCAGAACACGAAGATTCTTTTCTTCCAGAACGTTGTTAAGGATATTCCAATCAAAACTATATTCATAATTCAAATTATGACAATCCACATGCATTACGTTGCATTTATTATAATTAAAAGACATTTTCTATTTATTCACCCAAATAACGAAATTATCTAAATCCTTTTGTAAAGCGTCCTCCTCCTCCTCACAGACAAAAACACCCAATACCAAAATAACATCAGTAAGTGCAAGTGAACGATTGACCATTCCAGACCAAAATAACATCAGCAACTGTAAGTGAACGATTGACCATTCTAGACCAAAATAACATCAGCAACGTTAAGTGAACGATTGACCATTCCAGACCAAAATAACATCAGCAACTGTAAGTGAACGATTGACCATTCTAGACCAAAATAACATCAGCAACGTTAAGTGAACGATTGACCATTCCAGACCAAAATAACATCAGCAACTTTAAGTGAACGATTGACCATTCTAGACCAAAATAACATCAGCAACTGTAAGTGAACGATTGACCATTCCAGACCAAAGTAACATCAGCAACGTTAAGTGAACAAGTGAATTCCTTCATCCGTGCCATTGATGTAAATAAAAATGAGCAAAATCCTACACTGAGCCCTGAGGTACCCCACATTAATCCAATTTGGCTGAGCTACATTTATAGCAACCCTCTGATTTCTTCTATTTAGTCACTTTTCCATCCAATGTGCCAACCTATCTCTCAAACGAAGAGAGATAACTTTTGAACAATCCTTTTGTGCGACACCTTGTCAAAGTCTTTCTGTAAATACAGATGTATCAAATCCAAACCCGTACCATTATCTAAATAAGTAGTACACTTTTCAAAAAATCTCGAAAGATTAGTAAGGCAAGACTATCCAACAAAATGTTTAATTGTTGAATAAAAACGACTGTGAAGTCTAGTTGTAAATAATGTCACCATAAACAGAAACTAGTTTTATCTTTGCTTATCTATTATCCAGAAGAAATTTTATTCAATATATATAATTGTTAATACCGAGTTACAGAATCTTATCTTTATATTGAATAACCTATTTTAATGTAATTATAGTAACAGAATAGATTTTTAATGTATCAGTTCACATAGTTAGTATAATTATTATCTCCCATTCAAAGCTTTCTTCACCAATTCTTTAAGTTTTAGTAAATTGTTTGTTTGCTTGTTTGTAATTAAGCATAAAGCTAAACAATGGGCTATCTGTAATCTGACCACTATGGGTATCGAAACCCGGATTCTAGCGTTGTAAGTCCGCAGACATACCGTTGTGCAACTGGGGAGCAAGTTTTAGTAAAAGCGATCCGACTAATTAAGACAGCTGCTTAGAATTGTCTCTGAAACGTTTTAGAAAACTTTTGTGAGCTCTAAAGAATGTTCTGATTTTCATACTGGTAAATAATTTTACGAGTTTCCGAGACTTGCTAATAAACACTGACTTAAGCTAACAACATGTAAAATAATCATCTCTCTTGGTGAAATTCTACATTTTGAACCACGTCTACTTATTCTGTTTACAAAAAAATTAACACAAAGATGAGACAGAGCCATAAAATATTTAATGTAAACAACCATTGTCGTTATTCCTTAGAGGAAAGCTACGAGACAATGAGCTATCTGTTCACCGCGTGGAATCGAACCTGGATTTTAGTGTTGTAAGTCCGCAGACATACCGCTAAGCCACCGGGAATTAATGTAGATGGAATTTTAAAAGATGCGCACACACACACACATAGGAGGCAGACATGCGAAATATTTAATGTAGGTGAAATTAAAAAACGCACACAAAGGAGGCAGACCTGCGAGATATTTAATATAAATGGATATAAAACACATATACAAAGGAGGCAGTGACAGTTCATATACAAAAGTGTAAATTATCAACCTACAATTAATTAAAAACGCCCATTAGTACTACATATAGATTTCTTAAATTACCACAGAGACACCCCTTTAGAGTGACGTACTATCCTCTACCATCGTCATAAGCTTACACCCACACGTTACTGGGTTCAAATGTCAAGGATGGACAGCGATATTTTATTCATGTGCTCCAACACGAGCTAAACGCTAAGCCTGCTATCTTTGAATTTTATTCGTATTTTTATTTTTAGACGTCACTATCAAAAGTCTCTGCGCTATTCAAAGCAGTATTAATGAATGACCAAGAATATCCTTCTAACTCCACATTGGGTTATCATCTCCTAGCCGAACAACATACGCCTGTTAATACTACTGCAATTTTCGAGTAAGATATTAACAAAGTGGTTAAAAAATCCGAAAACACGAGCGTGTTTAAAATGGCTTTTTCATTATCAGATAAAAACCAGAAATTCTTCGAAATCACTCAGGCTTTTATGATGATACTTTGGACTTTTTATGTTTTACTACTAAATATACATCAACCCACCTAACGTAAACAAGGTCTATAACAACACTTGGTATCAACTTATCTATACAAACAATAGAAAGTAACTAGCATGTCGTGTTCTAGATAGTGTCTTCTCAGATGATAAACAGAAGCTAATAAACAATGTCCTTAATCTAATAATCAGGTGTGTATCTACTAGACAATGTACCTAATCAAATAAGCAGGTGTGTATCTACTAGATAATGCTCTTAATCTAATAATCAGGTGTTTATCACTACTAGACAATGTCCTTAATCTAATAAGCAGGTGTTTATCACTACTAGACAATGTCCTTAATCTAATAAGCAGGTGTGCATCACTACTAGACAATGTACTTAATCAAATAAACAGGTGTGTATCTACCAGACAATGTACTTAATCAAATAATCAGGTGTATATCACTACTAGACAATGTCCTTAATCTAATAATTTGGTTTTCATCACTACTAGACAATGTCCTTAATCAAATGATCAGGTGTATATCTACCAGACAATGTCCTTAATCAAATAAGCAGGTGTGTATCTACTAGATAATGTTCTTAATCTAATAAGCAGGTGTGTATCACTACTAGACAATGTACTTAATCAAATAAACAGGTGTGTATCTACCAGACAATGTCCTTAATCAAATAGTCAGGTGTACATCACTACTAGACAATGTCCTTAATCTAATAATTTGGTGTTCATCACTACTAGACAATGTCCTTAATCTAATAAGCAGGTGTGTATCATTACTAGACAATGACTCTTCAGGTATTAAACAGATGTCTTGTCTCCAGACAATGTTCTTAATTTAATAAGCAGGTGTGTATCTTTACTAGAGAACCAACTCGTGGTCGTTGAGCTCGTCCACTGCAGGTTAATCTCGTGTGTGGCTCTGTTTCTTTCACTTACAGTAGCTGAATGGTTCTATAGAGACAATCCGATAAGGTCTCAGGCTTCCTGGCTCGCTCTCAGGGGAAGTACTTTGGAAAGCCTTCTAGTTGCTCCATTGGCTTTCTTTCCTTTGTCCTCCACCTCTCAGCTGAAGAAACATGACCACTGTGGATCTTTGCACTCATAACCACGAGATATTTTGGTATTGGAACCAATAATTCTTTTTTTTTTTCGTTCTATGGTATCTCATTTATTACCAGCAGAACATAAAAGTTAAGCTCGCTAAGGACGGGAAGTTTTCAGATATCGGGTTTTGACATGTATTTTCCTTCGAGATTGCAACAATTAAGTCACGAAGAAAAACAAGACACAAGTAACAAATGTTCAATTACACATTTACAATTTAGAAGACAATAAAAAACACTGTAAACAATGCAACGAAAACTATCCAATAAACAATATGACAAGGGATCTTTATGTGTAGGCGCAGAATTGATTAGAGCTGGTGCCGAATTTAATCTCTCTATATTAAGCACAAAAATCTGTGGGTCTGTCTATTTGTCCCTTATCTAACTACTTCTAGATCACTCGGCCAATCTCAAACATACTTTGTGGGATGATAGTCTGGAACAGAGGGCATGTTATTGGGGGTTCACTACCCCTTCACTCCCAATTATTGATGTTATTGAGCGTTTATTATCTTTGACGTAAGTTAACTACATTCATATGTATCGCCATTTTCTTACACAAAACAAAAAATACTTCATTAAATGTTCTGTCCCCCAGTGGGATATCGGTAAGTCTTCGGATTTACAACACTAAAATCATGGGTTCAATTCCCCTAGGTGGACACAGCAGAGAGCTTGCTATCTATGGCTTTTCTATAACACAACATATACACAGTGTGGGGGAGGGGGGCATACAAACGTTTTATATATCTCAGAGAGCGCACTAGCACTCTCTATGGAGGAATTCAATGAGAGAAAAAAAGAGTTATATCCACTTCCTTCTTTGACCCGTGACCTTACAACTTCATTCCATAAGACACTTTTGCGG